TCGCTTTTATCGCTGTTTTCTTATACCTCAATATTTTCCATTGTACAGGGAAGTAACATAAAAAGAGCTTTTCCTAAAATAGAGTCGCGTTCTTCTTGTTACTTTTGCGTTCTACGTTCTGTTTATTTTTTGCAGCAAGCCCTTCCGCACCTTGTTGCAGCACTTTCCTGACTTCAGTACTCGTGACGCACACGGTAACTACGTGGATTGTGCTCGGTGGTTCGGTAGCCTTGTCATCTCTAAGTCTTGTGAAAACGCCGTTGTTGTTTGGATGCCTGGAGATATTGAGTCCGCTACTGCACCTGCCTCTCTTGATCTCCACGACCTCCTACCTCCACGTCTCATCGATATTGACAGCAGCAGTGGCTGTGGCAATGGCCCCAGGGCACGACAAATGACGGGTGTACCGCTGGAGACGCGCTGTAGTCTATTGCACCAGCTGCGTCTGCCTGATTGTGATCTCTGGTATGTGCGTTTCGACCTCCACCTGCAACAGCGCCTCCTTGCTCTAGGCACTGGGGTGGGACTGCCGAGGATATTTCTGTGGGATCTATCCGACCTTGGATCAACTCTTTCTCTCGTACCTAAGGTATCTCTTACTCGTACCATAGGCTACTTTTTATTTTTACTTTCTCTCCTCAGGAAAGTAGGCGCTTGGCTATAAGATTTGCTAAGAAGCATCAATTTCACCCGACTATTGGTGATTCTCTGAGTATGGCGTATTTAGGGTTAACCATTTAATGGTGGATTATAATTCTACGTCATCTTCGCCATCCTAATTTCGATCAGTAAGCATTTCGCTATTAGGTTGCAATTTCATTCCATTGTCACTGAATCACTCCTTGTCATCTTTGGTTTGCTTAATTTGCTTAGAAGTTTTCCATTTTGCATTGTTCTATCAAAAGTGACTTTGAAGCGAATCCAGTCCCAAAGTTTCTTTTTCGTTAAGATCAGTAGTGTAGAAATGCCTACATTTTCTGAAGGATACGACTTTTGATCTTCTGAAAGTTTCCTGCAACCTCTTCTATTATCTACCTCTGTGTGCCCATTACAACGCTCGATAAAGGCATTTGCCATGCGATCTCGATCTGATTTGCTGATTTGATAGGATCTGACCTGCCTTGCGGCAATTGGGGATGAAAGTATAAGTGACCTATTTCCCGACGTGCTTTGAACAAGGCTTTTGGCCACTTATGAAGGTCGAATTGGGCAAGGCAGCAAGAAGTTGTAATGTCGTGCACATGCGTAATTGAAACTCTTAATCAGCGCCTGATTGAATATGTTTATCCTTGAAGGTTAAAGCTAAAAGAAAAGCGATTTGGAGGTAACTTCAGACAGTGAATCTTTGCTTTTAGGGTTGTGGATTTCTAGTAGCCTATCTTCACTCTTTGTGCCTTATGCTAACGTACTTTCGCATTTTTTGACTTCCAGATCCTTCACATTACCGCAACAGGTGCCGGCAATTTGAACAATTTTGGAGCCATTAGGCAGACTCGTTTTACCGGAGATGGCCGCATTCTCGTTGCCGTGGGCGACAATGGTCTAGTTGTACGTTTTGACAGAGTCGGCTAAGGGATGCTGACTTGCCTATCATGTAGATACTTCTTGATCATCTACTGCATTTGTGTTTTTGCGTACTTTTTTTACCAATAGGTGAAATATAAAACTATCTATGAGAGTGCTTTTCGCGTCTGTATCTTGTTGTTAAGTCCTATGGAGTATTAAGGATACGGCGCCAGTGCTTCCTCTAAGACAACTTAGGCAGACGTGTTCAAGTATAGTGTTATTAGCTGTTGGAAGATTGTTGGTAGATGTGGCTCGACACTAGCAGGTAGATTAAATTACGAAGCGTCAAGAGTGTCCAAACATCAGAGATGCACCGCTTTCTTGCACTTAATGCTGCTTACGGACATCGAATGCTGAGGTGACAGCTGAGAATCGATCGTCAGCAATGCTATCGAAATGTTTGGCCCACGGGGGTTTCGCAGGACCTTTACCTTCGCATACCCGGGCGTTTTAAGCGGAGTCAGTGAGTGGATTGACTTCACACATCGAGGAGGAGTACGTTGGCTTGCTGAGTAGTGTGCCATGCCATTTGGCATCCAACTCGCAATGTGTACGTTAAGTTGGTTTAATAATTACTTTGAGGGAAAATGATTGAAGTTCCTTTTCATTTACGTGTTTTTACTCTCATTGTTCAAATGCTTAGTAAGCCATGTGTAAAAGAATGCATTGCATCCTCATCT